ACCAGGACTAAAAGAGGACTGAACCAGGACTAAAACAGGACTAAAATAGGACTAAACCAGGACTGAACCAGGACTAAAAGAGGACTGAACCAGGACTAAAACAGGACTAAAAGTGGACTGAACCAGGACTAAAAGAGGACTGAACCAGGACTAAAAGAGGACTGAACCAGGACTAAAAGAGGACTGAACCAGGACTAAAACAGGACTAAAAGTGGACTGAACCAGGACTAAAAGAGGACTGAACCAGGACTAAAAGAGGACTGAACCAGGACTAAAAGAGGACTGAACCAGGACTAAAACAGGACTAAATGTGGACTGAACCAGGACTAAAACAGGACTAAAAGTGGACTAAACGAGGACTGAACCAGGACTAAAAGAGGACTGAACCAGGACTGAACCAAGACTGAACCAGGACTAAAACAGGACTAAAACAGGACTAAAAGTGGACTAAAAGAGGACTGAACCAGGACTAAAAGAGGACTAAAATAGGACTAAAACAGGACTAAAAGTGGACTAAAAAAGGACTGAACCAGGGCTCTTGGTTTTCATCGTTTTGTTCTTTGCGTCGTTTGCGGTGCGTTTGATGATGACACATTTGTCGTCATGCCGTGATCCAGAGAAATCCAGGAGCAGAAAAGGAGAAAAGTAATAGACATGTCTGAGCATGAGAAAGGTTACAAAGATCCAAGAGCTCACAGAGGAACCCAGAAGAACATCTCAACATCCGCAGAACTCACTCTCCTCGGTAAAGGTCAGTGTTCATGACTCAACCAGAAGAAAAAGACGAGGAAAAAAATGGCAGAGTTCCAAGGCAAAGAACATAAAGGCTCGTCTCACTTTTGCCAGAACGGAACATTTTGTGTTTACTTGTGAGTTTATCTTTGTCTAATATTTAAGTTTGCTCGATCTGAAATGGCCAAGATTGACAAAAGTGCAAAAAAGGTAAGAAATCGACACGGGGGTAAATACTTTTCCACAGCACAGTACATGTAGAAAATCTGTGTCGTTCATTCATTCATTTTTCAAAATAAAACTAAAAATAAGAAAACAAAAATGAATTAATTAATCATTGCATTTATATAACGCCTTTGAAGATCCCCAAAGCACTTTACAGTTCAGTATTTATTCACTCGACACTCGGTGATTGTAAACTACAACTGTAGCCACAGCTGCCCTGGGACAGACTGACAGAAGTGAGGCTGCCAATCTGCACCATCAGCCCTTCCAACCACCACCATCACTCACACACACACCACTTTCATATTAGGCAATGAGGGTGAAGTGTCTTGCCTAAGAACAACAGTTTTTGCCACTGGCGCCTCCTGTGGCTGTGATTTTCCCGAGTCTCCATCCAAATCCAGACCCAAACCTCTGAACTCCTGAGATCTGACGGGATCAGGCTTTGACAAGATAGTATGGACACACAAAAAAAATATTTTCTTCATTATTTGTCTCCAAAACCAAAATGAAAAAAACAGATAATGATTTGTTTTTTTCAGTTTTCAATTTTATTTTTTAATTAATGATGGAAAAAAATTGATAATAGTCGTGGTTTAGACCTGGTTTAGACCTGGTTTAGTCCTGGTCTAGACCTGGTTTAGTCCTGGTCTAGACCTGGTTTAATCCTGGTCTAGACCTGGTCTAGGCCTGGTTTAGACCTGGTTTAGACCTGGTTTAGACCTGGTTCAGTCCATTATCCGATTTTCCATTTTTCATTTTAGCACAAAATCGAAAACTGAAAAAACAAATCATTATCTGTTTTTTTCATTTTGGTTTTGGAGACAAATAATGAAGAAAATTTTTGTTTTTTTCTTTTTCTTATTTTTGGTTTTATTTTGAAAAACAAATGAATGAACGATACACGGATTATTGTAAAAAAACAAAAAAAAAACAACAACGTGATCACAAATGATGTTATGATCTCAGCTCGTGGGAAAGGCCAAAACAAAAATATTTTTACTGTTTTTGAAAGAAAAACATTACACCTAAAACTTTTAATGGGGCCCACAAACAATCACACTTTTGGTTTTAGAATAATGACACCACTTTGTGAGGCTAAGAAAATCTGAAAAACTAGTTTCACTTTTGTTTATTTATACCAACAAAGGCGTCGTTGAACTTTGTGCCAGTTTTGCTTCGTGTGGTTAAGCCCAGTAATTATAGAGATATTAACTATAAACCAGATCAACAAATCTGCATCTGACACAACAACAACAATAACAGTAAATCCTGGTGTGTTCAGAGTTGGGTCCGGTCAAGCAGAAGTAAACAGCAAGGTCAAAAATTCAAGTTAATGCATCTGATATAAAAATGTATTGAACAGATACATATGTACTCTAGTTTATGAAACTGTTGACCTTTTTTCTGTACCATTTTTGGTTCTAAAGTTCCATATGTTTTAAACAGACCATGTATGAAACATGGAACAAAAATTATTTCCCAAATTTCAAAGACCTGAAAATCATGTCAATAAATGGATGTATTTCATCATATCTTGTGTTATTCCATCTTTGAACTGTTGATGAAGGTACATGATTTTTTTTTTTTAAATGTATTTAAAATGAAAAAACTTTGCTTGGAAGGACTGACATATTTTATAGAAATAGTTTTCTTTCATTTTGAAGTAATATTAAAGTATTCAGAAGAAAAAAAGCGACAAATGATGTAAAATCCTGCACCTTCTACTTGTTTGTACAATTTTCCCTCCGTTACTTTTCCCTCCGTTACCATGACCTTTCTTAATAAAAAATCTCATGAGTCAAAAAAAGTCAGAGGTTTTTCAACCTAATCTTGTACCATATGGTAGAAAACTATATGAAGCAAATATTCAAACCAGTTTGTTAAGGATATGGAAGTGAGAACCAAGAGTTATCACTGTTTGGATTTATTGCCCAAAAAGTGCTGCATATTTCATTCCCTCCGTTACCTGACATGAGTTTTTTAAATTTTTTGTCAACAACTTGAAAGAATCTCACAGGTTTAACTTGACCCTGTTGGAGTGTAACTCTTTCCTACATTCTGATACTTTACTTATTTCAATAGTCCCTCTAGTTTCTGAATAAGAGACATTTGAATGTCAAAAATCTGCCCGTTTCCCTCCGTTACCACTTGACCAGACCCAGGTGTGTTTTGTTTCATTTATACATTTGAGGAACTCTTTATTATTAGTCTGTTTACATCTCCAAAGCTCAAAATGCTCGGTTCCACTTTGTGATGTCATGAAGCTGTAGTTTCCAAGCTCCTTTTTTACCTTTAGTTCAATAAGGATTTGCAATTCCAGGTCTGAAATGATCCAAGTGATTCTAGTGAAGGTGTGTGGAGTTTAAAAACACAGTGGAGCTCTTCCTATATCACCACCTGACATCACAAGGTGGAAAAGAGTGTTTTATGTTCGAGAGAAGGCATTCGACCGTGTCCCTCGTGGTGTCCTGTGGGGGGTGCTCTGGGAGTATGGGGTCCGGGGCCCTTTGCTAAGGGCTGTCCGGTCCCTGTATGACCGGAGCAGGAGCTGTGTTCATTGCCGGCAGTAAGTCAGACCTGTTCCCGGTGCATGTTGGACTCCGCCAGGGCTGCCCTTTGTCACCGGTTCTGTTCATTGTTTTTATGGACAGAATTTCTAGGCGCAGTCAGGGGCCGGAGGGGGTCCGGTTTGGGGACCACAGGATCTCATCTCTGCTGTTTGCGGATGATGTTGTCCTGTTGGCTTCATCGAACCAGGACCTGCAATGTGCACTGGAGCGGTTTGCAGCCGAGTGTGAAGCGGCTGGGATGAAGATCAGCTCTTCTAAGTCTGAGGCCATGGTTCTCGACCGGAAAAAGGTCGCTTGCCCTCTCCGGGTGGGTGGAGAGTCCCTGCCTCAAGTGGAGGAGTTCAAGTATCAAAAGGAAACATTTGACTGACTAAATCATCCTGAGTTTACAGAGAACATTTTGTATGTGGAGCGACACAAAGTGAAAGGCTCCAACTGTTCACCAAGAAACTCGGGATGATTTAGACAGTCAAATGTTTCCTTTTTAGTTCTTCCTGTGGATCAATCCTGCCCATCACCTTCACCTTTCACTATTTTTCAGTTCCGCTGGGAAGAGAAACAGTTTGAACGGAGGTTTGCAGTCACACACATCTGATTCACTTTTGCATTTATGGAGTTCGCAAACTTCCGAAGCTCATTTCTCGAGTCGTTTTCCGCTTTTAGGATCCAACAACCACACAATTACGATGTCCGAATCCCAAAACTAAAATATGACAATATCAGAACCAGAAACAAAAGTGATATGGTTCAAAAGACTTGAAAAGCTCGACTTTGACAATAGACACATCCCACTGGGAAAACAAACATGGAGGTTTGATGCTCATTTTTTCAGAAAATCCTTCCCAGTATGAATTGTGCGATGACCGGAAGTCCAAAATCTGTGATGCATGTATTGATCTGACTGAAATGTTTCACAGTGTGCCTTTAACAACACAAGCAGACTGTACAAAGAAGTGGACTAAGTGAGCGTGTCGTCATCCACAGTGTTCAGCTTCAGTCAAATGAAGCTCACCGAGGCCTGCAGTTATACGAGCGAATGTGGAGCCGATTTCCATATTTGGAATTCCGACCGCGAGTATCACAGCAACCAAAGAACCAATCAGGAGCGAGGCTGTTGAAGGTAACGCTTGGCGACGCTGTCAATCCATCGTAAACGGGAGCAACTTTGAGGAGTGAAGGCATCTGATTTGTCTGTTTTCTAATGTTCATATCTTAATTTACAGACAAAATAGCGAAATAAAACCACCAGGACCATGTAGAGCGGGTTAATACAAATATTTTTAGACCAAAAAAAACAGAGAGAGGGGCGACGTTTTTCAGTATAAAGTGAACTGGAGCCAGAGATAATGAAGCTAAAGCGTCCCCGTGATAACTTCGTACTTGGGGTTATCTACTGTATGTGCATTTATTTATTTATAAAAGGACGAAACACTAACGCCCCGTAGAGTTTTTTTGTTTTGTTTTTTTTACCTCTGGATGTCGACGTGCGTGTGCAGCTGCTGCAGGAGGAGACTGTGGAGCTGCCGCTGTCCCTCCGTCTCCTGCTCCTCAAACAGGGGCCCCTCCTCACACTCGGCACGACTCACTCTGAAACACAAACAAGAAACAAGAAATCAACAAAACAGAACCTGCTTTATTTTACTCTTATTGGTTAATTTGGTTCACTTTAAATGGATTTAGACTTTGTACTTGCTAAAACAGGACTGAACCAGGTCTAGGAACAGGCCCGGAGGTGCATTTGAGTAGATCATCAGGTGACGGCAGGAGAAAAGGACCGGCGCAGGTGTAGTCGTGATGTGGACCTGGATTAGACCTGGTTTAGACCTGATGTAGTCCTGATGTAGTCCTGGTTTAGTCTTAGATTAGTCCTGGCTTAGACCTGATGTAGTCCTGATGTAGTCCTGGTGTGGTCCTGGTTTAGACCTGGTGTAGTCCTGGTTTAGACCTGGTGTAGTCCTGGTTTAGACCTGGTGTAGTCCTGGTTTAGACCTGGTTTAGACCTGGTGTAGACCTGGTTTAGACATGGTTCAGTCCTGGTTTAGACCTGTTTCAGTACTGTTTTAGTCCCGGTTCAGTCCTGTTTTAGTCCTGGTTCGGTCCTGGTTTAGTCCTGGTTTAGACATGGTTCAGTCCTGGTTTAGACCTGGTTCAGTACTGTTTTAGACCTGGTTTAGACCTGGTTCAGTACTGTTTTAGTCCCAGTTCAGTCCTGGTTTAGACCTGGTTTTGACCTGTTTCAGTACTGTTTTAATCCCGGTTCAGTCCTGTTTTAGTCCTGGTTTAGTCCTGGTTTAGACCTGGTTTAGACCTGTTTCAGTACTGTTTTAGTCCCGGTTCAGTCCTGGTTTAATCCTGGTTTAGTCCTGGTTTAGACCTGGTTGAGTACTGTTTTAGTCCCAGTTCAGTCCTGGTTTAGAATTCAACAAAACATAGTCAGGTTTATTTTACTCTTATTGGTTGGTTAGATTTAGACTTTGTACTTCCACTGTTTTCAAGGTGAAATGAGTAACTTTTTGGTTGGGGGTCTGTCGCCTGCATGTTTCTATGGAGATGTCATTGCTCTGCCTGGAATGTTCCACAGTTCCACACATCTTTCTTAATCCTACATTTAATCAATTGGATTTATAGCTCCCAGTTTTAGACAAGAAATTTCCCAGCTTTCCTTATTTTTTACCAATTTGTTCCAAACCAGGTCTAAACCAGGACTAAACCAGGACTACATCAGGTCTAAACCAGGACTAAACCAGGACTACATCAGATTTAAACCAGGACTATATCAGGTCTAAACTAGGACTAAACCAGGATCTCATCAGGTCTAAACCAGGACTAAACCAAAACTAAACCAGGATTACATCAGGTCTAAACCTGGACTATATCAGATCTAAACCAGGACTATATCAGGTCTAAACCAGGACTAAACCAGGACTACATCAGGTCTAAACCGGGACTAAACTAAGACTAAACCAAAACTACATCAGGTCTAAACCGGGACTAAACTAAGACTAAACCAGGACTACATCAGATTTAAACCAGGACTATATCAGGTCTAAACCAGGACTAAACCAAGACTAAACCAGGATTACATCTGGTCTAAACCAGGACTACATCAGGTCTAAACCAGGACAAAACTAAGACTAAACCAGGACTATATCAGGTCTAAACCAGGACTATATCAGGTCTAAACCAGGACTATATCAGGTCTAAACCAGGACTATATCAGGTCTAAACCAGGACTAAACCAAGACTAAACCAGGATTACATCTGGTCTAAACCAGACTACATCAGGTCTAAACCAGGACTAAACTAAGACTAAACCAGGACTATATCAGGTCTAAACCAGGACTACATCAGGACTAAACCAGGACTAAACCAAGACTAAACCAGGATTACATCTGGTCTAAACCAGGACTACATCAGGTCTAAACCAGGACTAAACTAAGACTAAACCAGGACTACATCAGATTTAAACCAGGACTATATCAGGTCTAAACCAGGACTAAACCAAGACTAAACCAGGATTACATCTGGTCTAAACCAGGACTACATCAGGTCTAAACCAGGACTAAACTAAGACTAAACCAGGACTATATCAGGTCTAAACCAGGACTACATCAGGACTAAACCAGGACTAAACCAAGACTAAACCAGGATTACATCTGGTCTAAACCAGGACTACATCAGGTCTAAACCAGGACAAAACTAAGACTAAACCAGGACTATATCAGGTCTAAACCAGGACTATATCAGGTCTAAACCAGGACTATATCAGGTCTAAACCAGGACTATATCAGGTCTAAACCAGGACTATATCAGGTCTAAACCAGGACTAAACCAAGACTAAACCAGGATTACATCTGGTCTAAACCAGGACTACATCAGGTCTAAACCAGGACTAAACTAAGACTAAACCAGGACTACATCAGGACTAAACCAGGACTAAACTAAGACTAAACCAGGACTACATCAGGACTAAACCAGGACTAAATCCGCACTCGTATGCCACGTTTAGCTGTATTCCCATGGCAACCACGCGACGTCCCGTTCGTACGTAACATTAACGAAACGGCGTCAGTTCTTATACGTAATATTTTCCAAAATTTGCTTTTACAAGACCAAAATTTGTCTCTTTACACATAATTTTAATGCAAAAACAGGAACATCAACAAACAAGTTTCTTTTACCTTTTCATTTTCCGCTTCTCGCATTTACTTCCGGTGTTGCGTGATAGCGTGGGCTCATGGGAAATGTAGTGCAAACGTCTCTAAATCCTTTATTTCTACTATGCGCTAAAATGGACAAGGAGAAAGGGCATTTGAGGATACGAATTCACATCTCCAGCGGTTTTCTGCCGTATTTACATAGAAACTCCAAACCCAGTGCGGATAAAACAGCCGCTTTTAAACTCTGAAACCTTTATCCTTTGATTTACTACAGTCTTATACAACAATCTGAGCCCAAACTTGCTGTGTGCATTTTTGTGTTGTGAAATCGTGGCCACACCCAGCTTCATTGGACTGGGCGTGGGGTTTTGAAAAAGCAATCACCGGGAGGATCACGCTCCACCTGGCTCCACTCACGCCCTTTTCTCATTTATAGCCAACATTACTTTGTTGTTTTATTTAATTATAAGGCAGAGTGTGACTTTATGGCTTTATGACGGCACTGAGCTTTTATAATTCAGCAAAACATGTGACATAAACAATATAAATGAACACTGACCAAATATAAACACGCAAAATTAAGAAAAATATAACATAATAATCAGTGTTGTGGAGTAACAGATTACATGTACCAGAGTTACGTAATCAGAGTACAAATTATGAGTAACTGTATTCAGTTACAGTTACTGTTTCAGTGAGTGGTAATTGGATTACAGTTACTTGGTTGAAATAAATGGATTACACAGCGATATTTTTCCTGTTTTCACTTTTTTTTCACATTTCACTTTTTTTCTTTTTTCTTTTTTTTTTGTAATTTCACTCATTGCTGGACACTAAACCAGGTCTAAACCAGGTCTAAAACTAGGTCTAAAACCAGGTCTAAACAAGGTCTAAAACCAGGTTTAAAACCAGGTCTAAACCAGGTCTAAACCAGTACTAAACCAGGACTAAATCAGGACTAAAACAGGTCTAAACTAGGACTAAACCAAGACTAAAACAGGTCTAAAACAGGACTAAATCCTGCTGTGTGGACGTGTCTTCTCGTCTTCTATCAATAATATTTTTAATTTGGTTCAATAAAGTCTGGACTTTTTATTTTCTTTTAGCAAATAAAACTTCTTATGTGAAGATTTCCGAGTCTTTATTTCTCTACAGCAAATCAAGTAATGCAAAGTATTCAGATTACATTACTCACTTTAAGTAATTTAATGGATTCCGTTACAAACTACATTTTGGGGTATGTAATCTGTAACCTGTAGGGGAATACATTTTAAAAAGTAACCTTCCCAACACTGATAATAATTATAAAAACATGATGTGCTATGTACTTTTTCCTACTTGTGTTCATACAGATGTCATTGCTTTGCCTGAAATCTTACACTATACGGCATTAAACTCATCTGTCTCCAGATGGAAACGCTACCAGGCCAAGTTACGGGCTTGATCTGCGGAGAGCTGACACCAGGAAACAAGTTTAAGACAAAAAAACGCCTGAAATTGAAATCATCTGAGGCCACATTTATACGATGAGGGTCTGGACAGAAGACGCAAAAGTGGCGTCGCGTTTTCACTTTTTATTCCCGCGTTTAGACGAGCGTTTTCGGGAGGAAAAGTAAAAAGTGCATGGAATTCGATTGTGTGTGCGTACCAGGCGGCTCGGTGGCGATGTACGTGACGTAAACGTGTATGCGACGTGAGCAGATCTGACCAGAGTTTTGCGTCTTGGGCAGTGCAGACGGAAACACTACGGTGGAGAGTATTCAACTTTTCCACTCTGGAGGTGGTTTCAGGGCCTGTTTGCACGAGAACACTTGCGGATAAAAATGACAAAATATTTATGGGAAGTGTCTTTCGTTTAGACGGTGACAGCATTTTTGGGGCTTAAAAACGCAAATATCTGAAACCACCTCCAGAGTGGAAAAGTTGAATACACTCCACCTTAGTGTTTCCATCTACACTGAACAAGACGCAAAACTCTGGTCAGATCTGTTCAGGTCGTGTACACGGTTACGTCACATACATCACCGCCGAGTCGCCTGGCATGCAAACACAATCGAATTCCACACACTTTTGTGTCACCGTATGCAGCAGATTTCCTCCTGAAAACACTCGTCTAAACGCAGGAATAAAAAGTGAAGACGCGACGCCACTTTTACGTCTTCTGTCCAGACCAATATCATATAAACGTAGCCTCCAATTTTTGCGTTTTCAAGCCCCAAAAACGCCGTCACCGTCTAAACGAAAGGCACTTCTGATCAAATATTTTGTCGTTTTTACCCACAAGCTACACAAGTTACATATTACATCTGTAAACTTTCCGCTCTTTAAGCTTTATATTTGGCACCTTATCATGGTAAGATACAATGAGAAGAAATGTGTTTTTTTTAAATTTTTTTATTTGCAGTTTATTCGGTGCTTTTTCTCCACATACGTCACAGTATATATGCAGTTTTCTTTATTTTTTGTTTTGTTTTCTCTATTTGTATTTGTTATTTTTCATTTTATTTATTAATTAATTAATTATTTATTTTATTTTATTTTATTATTTATGTATTATTTATTTTATTTGTTTTGTCTATTTGTATTTGTTATTTTATTTTATTTTTTAAATGTATTTATTTTATTCTATTATTTATTATTATTTTTTAACTGTATTTGTTTTGTCTATTTATATTTATTTTATTTTTTATGTATTTATTTTATTCTATAATTTATTATTTATATAT